TATATATTAAAGTTGCAATACGAAAATAATGTCGAAACCTTATGTGGTTAGTATCTCTTTGTTGAATAAAAAAATTTGTTTTATTATCTTTTAAATTGGTCAATATCGCGGGGAATTCCTATAAATCTCATCTTTTAGTACTTATAGTTTCAATCACATATCCCGTATTTAATTTCCGAATCGCACTTTTAACAAATAAGAAGTCAGAACACTTTTTCTATGTTATTCAAATATTTATAAATTGTCAGAAACCTATCAAATCTAATTTGTGAATTCTATCATTAAATACTTTAAAGCTTTGTCGGAAAAAATTATATATTCTAGATTAAGTTCGAGAAATTCTAAAATTCACAACTTACTTACAGAATTTGTTGAATCATCTTGTATTTTTTTCTAGATTAGATAAAAAAAATTAAAACAATTTTTGTGTTTACATATTTGTTAGATATGGAAAATTTTATCAATAACTAAGACATTTTTTATAAGAATATTAAGTTTAGAAATTGTTTCTAACGTTAAGCGTATGAATTTTTGCAATATTGTAATGGAAATATTAATTAAATTACTTGTTATGAAACAAAATTTTAACGATTTTAAAATGTTGAAAAGTGAAATTATTTTAACCATCTAAGTTTTGCTTTAAAATATTATGGAATTGCAAACATACCAAGCTAAAAATAATGGTTAAATGCAAATTATAATAATGTGCATTTATTACTAAATTATTATTGCAATTATTACTAAATACTAAGTAAAAAGAAAAGATTTATAATAAAAAATATTTAAGATGGTCACCTAAATTGCAAATTAAAACTTTATGCTGCCTTCACTTTTTAATAAAATTAAAAAAACAGAACTTAATATATATTTAAAAAAAAATAAGAAAATTTAATTTTTTTATATTTTGTATCCAAAAATATTAAAAAATTCGTTATAAATATACAAGAGGTAAAAAAATTTTTTCGATAATATTACACATCTAGAACTTTAAAAGGGCGCTATCGCTGAAAACATACACTAAAATTATGTCTTTACGAAGTTCAATATCATTATAATACACGCGTACTTGTGTAATTTTGCTTTCGCCCAATTTTTTAATTCATGGATTCTCCTTTAAAAGTAAAGTGCATAAGAACCTGATTGAATGTAGGAGGCAGAAAATACAGAAAATAGTGAAAAGAGAGAAACAAAAATATATTATATTTTTTTATAATTTTTTTAGTTACTTAATACTGCCATAGAGTTTCTGCTGCTTTTTTTTATATTAAAATTTACTTCTTAATGGATCTTTGTAGGTCTTTATGGGCAACCTACTTTTCTATTATTTGAATCATATTCATTCACAATAAAGCAAAAATAGAAAAAAGAATAAAAATATAAGACATTACAATTTAGAAATTTCAAAGCTTCCCATTTCTGCTTTTTATTTTTTTGCTGCCTTCTTCTAAATTAAACAAGTTCTTGGGAAAGGTTATAAGGAGGTGATGATTTTTCTCTAAATTTTTTTTATGTTTTCTACATAAAATTTACATGGACAAAAAAAATTAAAATTAGAATTCCAAAGTAAATTTTTCTCTTTAGGAAAGTAAAATGAGAATTTTTGTAAGTAATACATATTACAAATATAAGTACGTATACATATTATGTATACGTACATATTATGTATACGTGTATACTATGTTTATACATAGTATACACGTATGTACATGTATATACAAAAAAAATTTTTGTTGTTGAAAACAAAAATAAAAGCAAGTAGAAGAAAAATAAGTATGAATTTGTGCAAGTGTTTTTCACCTTTTCAATGATGCTTTTTGAAACAACGAATCCATCTGCACCGAAAAATACAAACTTAACAAGCATAAAGATATACATTTCACAATTTACAAAATGCATAAATGAAGAATGAATGCACAAAGAAAGGAACACAGGACGGAAGAAAAGTACATAAAATTAACTAGTTGTATAGTAGTTTTTCAAATAATTTTTTCGACGGAATCATCATTTTTAACAACAAAAATACTATAATTAATATCTATCAAATCATGAAATAAAATTACACTATTTGCAATCCTACTAATATACATATTTTAATTTTCAAATTATTTTTAGATCTGAGCATCTTGCCCATCTACCCTACATGTAACGACCACGAAAATTTTAAGGTGGAACAAATATCATCAAAACTATAAAGTTTTCTGTCAAATACTCTCGGTAAAATTGATTTTTTGATTCATATTAAGTACAAGATTTCGATACCAAAAATAAATTGCGTGATATTCCTGTGACGATCTACAGGGAGAATGAAATTTGTGTATCGCTTGATTGGCGCAAAATTTTTCAATATTATACAAAAGTTCTAAAAAATAAAAAATGGTTGTCTGCAAACGTAAGTAACTTGCTAACTATGCAAAATTAATTAGTTTTTTATAAAAACTCTCATATATGTACATATCTTCCACATATATTAGTGTGCACAATAAGCATGTTGCAAAAAAAAGAATACTCACAATTAGTGTTCTTCTATTCAGTAGTTTCTCCTCTAGCATTTCCTCTTAATATAATGTTACACTTCATGCAATTTCCTTGTTTTTCCATACCACTCCCTTACTTAATGCATTTTTTCCTTCTTTAACGCATTTTTTTTTTGTTTTTTCTTTTCAATCTCTCATAGAGTAATTTCATTTAAATAGAAAATATTCGATTCCGAAAACCCATTACACGAGAGATTACTCTATTTGAATACACTAGCAATGAGGTTGTCGGGTGAAGTGAATTATGATAAATAAAAATAGAATAAAGTAAAAACTAATAAATTGAAATCAAAATTCCATAAGTTTTCATATTTTGCGTTTTCTTTGTGAAAAATACACGTTCATTTAGCTCTGATATTTTTTTATTTCCCTTTTACTTATAAAAAATATATGTTTACTTTTTTATTTCATGTGTTCTACATATAAAATTTTATGTATTATAGGTATTTTTAAGATATTAGATTCGTTTTACAAGATCGTAATGATTGCGAAATTCTTTATTTTAGTATAGAACAATAGGTTTGAAAGAAATATTGTGCGCATGCGTAAAAATCTACCAGATTTAATTTAACTTTATAATGGTTTTTCTTTTTAATTTATGTAAGTAAAAAAGTTAAAAATAGTGCTTAATTATTTTAAAATTTCTAGAACATACTAACTATGCATTGTATATTATTTTTAATAAATTCCTAGCAGCTTACATTTAGGAAGAAATAAAAAACTAAATTTTATGTATGAGTTCGCAATTTATTTAAAATCTTAAAAAAAATAGTTTAGCTTAATTTGTGTAAAAATATGCATATATTATTTTGAAAAAAAAATTGAAACAAATTTTCTGTTTGTTCTACTTAAATCAAAATACGTATTTCAATCGCAGATTACGACCGACCAAAGGGTACAAACTTCAAAACAAAATTTGAAGTATGTGCGTATGTAGAAGATTATACATTCCGAAATTTTATATTTCTAATAAAAAATTCAGTCAGTGCTCACTATAATATCTTGTTCATACTTTACAAATGAAATACATATTTCGGTTTAGTACAAATATAAATTCATAATTGACTCTTACATTATCTTATTTAAAACATAAGTTTCGAACTTTGAGAACTCAAATCATTGAGTACTTTTTGTTTTATTTTTTTATTCAAGAAGAGCATTTTTCAGTGATTGTTCCGAAAGACGCCCAATGTACGAAAACCAAAATAATAATAAAATATTTATTATTTTAAAGTGGTAAACGCGGTACGTTAGTAATATAATAGGCAAATAAACAAACATTTACTTTTTTATTGTTTTATATTACGTAGGTAGATCTATCCACCTATGCTAAGATTATATAGGTACCTACTAAGATAGAGCTAAGATAATTTGGTCATGTCAGAATTAGATGTCACTGACCGAAACGATATTATAAGTAAGAAAAAAATTATGCCTCGAAATAAACATTAGTTGTTTTTATTTTAAGATTTTCAAGTTTAATTTGTTAAATAAGTTAAATATAGTTACAAGGAATGATGATGAGCAAAATGGTTTTCGTTCTACATTCATGCGAATCGGCATTAAACATGGTGGTATACGATTGGAAAAGAGCCAAAGAAAATAATCTAGTCATTTTAGCTGTTTTTTTAGATTTTAAGATTAGTTAAAAAATTGGAAAAGTTTTCTCGAAAACAGAAAGCAAAAAACTTCAATTAACTATAACTATTCAGATAGTATTTTTATCAATGATGGAGTCCCAAAAGGTGCAATATTAGGTGTATTAAGTTTTTTGTTGTATATAAATGATATTAAATGGAATGTCCAGTCTTGTAAAACAGTCCTGTTTGTCGATGATGCCCTTATTTATATTGTTGAACGTAATGTTGAAGAATGTTGTAGTAAAATGAATGTTGATTTAGATTACTTATTTGCCTGGCTATGTATGAACAAATTGTATTTAAATTTTGATAAAACGAAATGTATAGTAATGAATGAATGGTGGTCGGATGGCAAGCGACAGGGTAGACGCTGATCGTTTGCCCCTTTCGGGACATTCCAGCGTTGTAACTGTGCGGCTTCTATCAAGTGCTCATTATACTTCCTCGCGGTGACCACTGGGCAACGGAGTTTGCTCTGGCTAAATAATGAGTGCAACAAACGGTATGTAGTAACGGCAAATGCATATCTACAGTAAATCCCTTCGCCTTCTCTCTCAGAGGTTATAATAGTGAGAGCTGGTCCTCCTGGTGGGGGGTTGATCGTATGGCTAACAACCACACATCGGAAAACTTTAATGTTATGCAATCTTCAACTATGCCTCGGATACAAACTGATCTAAACTGGAATCGACCAAGGAAACGTTTAAAGGACAATGATTTGAAATTTGCAACATGGAATGTAAGAACTATGATGAATGCGGGTAAAATGCAAGAAATTGCTAATGAAATGTTTAAATATAAACTTGATATGATAGCCCTATAAGAAATGAGATGGAAAGACAAAGGAATAATTAATAAAACAAAATTTTCAATGTACTACAGTGGTAGCAGCAATAGGTCTGGCTTATATGGTACTGGGTTCATTATCTCCAAGAACCTGAAAAATTTCGTAATTGGTTTTAAGCCTGTAAGTGATAGAATTTGTTGTATAAGATTGAGGGGTAAATTCTGTTTATTTAATAATTTGACCTTTATATCGGCGTATGCCCCAACTGAAGATGCGGATGATGATGTGAAAGATGATTTCTATGACTCTCTCGGTAAAACACTTAACGAAGTTTCTAGCCATGATTCTGTAATAGTACTAGGTGATTTTAACGCAAAGATCGGTAAAGAAGAATATGTACGGAATATTGCTGGTAAATTTTCATTACATGAAACAACAAGCCCCAACGGACACAGATTGTGCCAGTTTGCTGAGGAAACATGTCTCAAGATAAAAAGCACCTCTTTTGAGCGGAAAAACATACACAAGGGGACATGGAAAATCCCGGGAAGCAGTGTCTCTAACCAAATCGATCATGTACTCATTTCGGCTAGATGGGCCTCTTCGGTAATGAGTGTACGAAGTTGCAGAGGTGAAAGAATGAAAATGATACAAAGAAATACGAGATCAAGTCAGGAATCATACAAATCTAAAAGAATAGCTGCCACGAAACTTTGTCGAAAGAAGAAGAAGAAAATGTTAGAAAATAAAATAAGGCAAATACAACAACAACATAACCAAAATGAAATAAGAAAGTTTTACAAAAATATAAAATTTCAGAATAGTGCTTTCCAACCAAGATTGAACATTTGTAAAAGCAAAACTGGAGAGATTTTAGATAACGACGCAGATGTTATCGAAAGATGGAGAGAATACTTCAATGAGCTGCTAAATAAACAAACCTTTGAGCAGCCTATTTTGAACACTGGCTTTCAAAAATGAAGAAGTTACAGAAGCTATTAATAAAATGAAGAACTCAAAAGCCCCTGGAGATGACAAATTAACAGCTGAGCTGTTTAAAGCAGGAGGAGAATATTTGCACCAAACAATACATAAGCTAATATGTAGAATCTGGGAGCAAGAAGAAATGCCTGACAAGTGGAACCTCGGAATAATATGTCCCATACATAAAAAAGGAGACAAGATGATATGTAACAACTACAGAGGAATCATGCTCCTAAATTGTGCCTATAAGATTTTAGCCAATATTTTATATGAGAGGCTTAAACCATTAGCTGAAGAGATAGTAGGTGAATATCAGTGCGGCTTTAGGAGACAGAGGTCAACAACAGATCAAGTGTTCTTAGTAAAACAATGTATGGAAAAATCGTATGAATATAACACAGACTTGCACATACTATTCATAGACTTCAAACAAGCATTTGACAGTGTCGATAGGAAACAACTGCATTATTCATTGATACAACTAGGAATACCAACTAAATTGGCTCGTTTAGCTATGATGACGTTGAACAATGCAAAAGCAAAAGTGCAAATTCAAAATCAAACTTCAAAAATATTCGATATCAAAACAGGTGTTAGGCAAGGTGACGCTCTATCATCGCTGTTATTTAATTTGTTTTTGGAAAAAGCGATTGGAAACCTAGACCTAGGAGGAAATATTTTCACCAAAAGATATCAAATAATTGCGTATGCAGACGATATCGCAATAGTTGCAAGGAATTTTGGAGAGTTGGTGCAAGCTTTCGTTCATTTAGAAAAGGAAGCAAAGAAAGTAAGCCTATGTGTAAACGAGCAAAAAACGAAATATCTGAAACTATCTCGAGATGAAGGAAGGAGAGCCCCGCAGAACATCACTATAGGAAATTATAATTTTGAAGGTGTCGACAGTTTTTCTTACCTCGGTGCAATAATTAAAAATGATAACAGCATGCAACACTGCATTCAAGAGCGAATTCAAGCTGGTAACCGTTGCCTTTTCGCAAACAATAAACTATTTCAGTCCAGACTACTTTCAAGACAAACGAAACTAGTTATATACAAAACAATTGTGAGACCAGTAGTTACATATGGTTGTGAAGCTTGGACCTTAACGGCAGCGGAAGAAAATTCTTTAAGAGTCTTTGAAAGAAAAGTTATGCGCAAAATTCTTGGTGCTAAAAGGCTTGAAAATGGTGAATATGCTATTAGATCTAATGCTGAGATAAACGATTATTTAAGAGGGGAGGATATTGTACGTTTTTCAAAGGCTCAGAGGCTTCGATGGGCTGGCCACGTGGTAAGGATGAGTGAAAACAGGGCACAATATAAAATCTTCAACACTGTGCCCTATATCAGCAGAGCACGAGGTAGACCTAGAACTAGGTGGGCCGACAACATCGAAAGTGATTGTAGAAAACTTAATATTATGAGCTGGAAATCGACTGCCCAGGATAGAGAAATGTGGAAGAATATAGTGAAGAAGGCCAAGGCTCACCCTGAGCTGTAGTGCCACAAGATGATGATGATAGTAATGAATGATAGAACACAAACTTTATTTAACGTTAAGATTGGTAATACATCTGTTGAAAGAGTCAGTTCAATCAAATACTTAGGTGTTATAATAGATGATAAACTCGCATTTGACAAGCATGCAGATTACATTACCAACAAAATAGCCCAAAAAATCGGATACTTACCTAGAATAAGGAGTCAACTAACTCTAAAGTGTGCTGTAACAATTTATAATACAACAATTTTGCCTTATTTGTATTTTTGTGCATCTATTTTATTTTTAAGCAACGAAGGAAAAAAAGATAAGATGCAAGTTCTTCAGAATAAAGCAATGCACGTAATTCTTAAATGCAACAGAATAACGAATATTCAGTATATGTTAGGTGAATTAAAATGGATGTCAGTTCGTCAAAGGTTGAATTTTAATGTTATTATGTTTGTCTTCAAAATAAAAAACGATTTACTTATTGCCACAGTATCTGAAGAGATGTCTGAGTTATGTTGGGGAAGCAACGGCCTATAATTTAAGTTCATGCAGTATGTTTCGATTGCCTTTATTTAGAAGAAATAACACTCAAAATAATCTGTTTTGCAAGGGTGTTCAGCTATTTAATAATCTACCATTAGAAATTAGGAACAAAACAAGCCTGAATAATTTTAAAAGCTGCCTTGTAAAATTTTTAGCACTTAACGAAATCTAATTTTTAATTTTGTATTGAATTTTTTTGAATTTATTATTGAATTTATTTTGAATTTTCCATTTTATCTTTAATATTCCAAAGCTATTGGTATTTAATTAACTAAGAATGAACTTTTTAAATTTGTTATAATAATGAATCAAAAATGAATTAAGTATATGAATTTTGTACCTAGATTTAAATATAGTATTCATACTAATAAAGTTAATAAAAAAAAAAAAAGTAAGTATATTTACGTTTTTGTACTTATTATTTTATTGTTACTTACTTTTAAATTAATTAATGAAAAAAATTGCAAGTATACCTACATTAAATAATGTTATTTAACACTTACTTGGTTAATAAAATAAGTTAATGCTTAGAAACCGCAAAATTATTTTGAAGTATGTAAGTAGCTATGCCTACCTACTTTAATTCCTGTTTGCAGCTATTAATTAAAGATTTAATATGAAACCTTGTGATATATAAGTATCGAATTTCATTTAAATTGGTACTACTTAAAAGGTTAAATATTTATTAAAAATAATTACTAATATTATCATCACATTTTATGGTGTATCAATTCAGTTTAATATTCACTAAAAATTTTCGTAAAGTTACAGAATTTAACTTATTAAATTTTTAATTTTAATAAACAAAATTAAGTAATATAAGTAGATACAAATAATAATAAATATACTTAAGCGATGGACTTATGGAATGATAAAAAATCTATTGAGTTATAAAAGCACCAATAAAATATATAAAAGTAACTACAATTTCAAGATACACATAAATTTTCATTTTCTAACTAAAAATCATCTTAATTCAGATTGCTTTTTTAAATAATTGATAAATTCCTTATTTTATAAATGTAGTTTTGTTAATTATAAAAGGAATATCTTACTACTTTTATTCTTACAAGCAAAGAATATTATTTTCTTTGAATTTTAATTGTTTACGCTTCAAAATATGTATAATAATATACTCTATAAATTGAAATAATATAAATAAAACTACGAAATCTTGTTTATTCAGTTACAATGCACAAAGGAAAAAATAAGATCTAAGTAAAATTTAAAACATAATTTTACTTAACATTTATGTTAAACTTAAACTTTAGCGGATCCTAAAATTAAAAATAAATAAGGATACATATGTATACTTAGTATATGATATTCAAGCAATAAATATTGCCCAAGACAAAAATTCTTAAGAAATTGCCGAAACAAAATTTAAAAAAAAAAAAACAAAATGTTGAAATTTCTTTAAAGTTGAAATGCCTGCATTTTCGAAAGTACGCGAATGAAAAAAATCTGATGTGTTCAGCTCATAACCGACCGCAATGTGTATTGTCTAGTTAAATGAAAGTGTTACAGAATATTATAAAAATGTCTGTTAAATACTTCTTTCCAATTTTTAGGACATTAGTAAGTTTATAGTTAACATACCTAGAAAAATGTAAATTTGGCTCTTAGTAGAGTTTCGCTTTGTGCTACCCGAATTCCCTGAAATGCTCGCCAGTTAGTTTCGGTAACAACCAGAACTCAAATATCAAATTTCAAGAAATTCCATCAATTCGTTCCGTAAATATGGTGAAAAATGTAAAATCGCCCCGCAGATCAGTTTTCGAGCTCTGATCTTTCTAAAAAATTTACATATTCATTGTTTTAATACGAGGAATTCAAATAATAAATTTCAATAAAATCGGTTGATTATTTCTCTTTATATACATAAAAATGTATATTTGGCCCGTAGTAAACGTCCAGTTACTGATGCCTGATTTGTTCCAAAAGTTAGAAATTTTCGCGGACGGTCGAGCGAAGCTCAAATATGTAATTTCAAGTAAATCGATTGAATATTTTCTTCAAAATGGTGAAAAATATAAAATCGGCCCGCAAATCAGTTTTCGAGCCCTGATCGTTCCAAAAAAATTACATGATCATTGTTTTAATACGGAGAATTCATATATTAAATTTCAATGAAATCGGTTGATTATTTTCTTCAAAATATTCAAAAATGTAAAACAGGCCCGCCAAAAAGTGCAGTTCCCGAGGCCTGTTATATACCAAAAGTTGATCAATCCGTGCCATGGTGGAAATAAACTTACATATAAAATTTCATCAAAATCGGTTGACCGTATTTTGTTAACAAAACCGACAGGTTGCTAAAAATAGTTTATTTACACTTCCCTACTATGGAGAAGTGCATTCCCACCGAAAACTCGATATGCAAAATTTGTTGCCATCACATAACCTACCTATTGTTAACAAAATACGGTCGGTAAAAATACTGTTGTAGGTACCTTATTTTAAATTAATCTATTAGTCCTTCCTCCCCTTAAAGATTTTTTTAATATGGCATACCAATTGAAAACAAATAGGTAGATACTATAATAAATACAAATAGGTGGGAACGTACATTTCAACCTCCAATAAATTTAATAAACTGAATAGATTAAGAAAAGATTGACATAAAGATTGCCTAGAAAAAATTTCTTTCATTTAAAAAAATTGATATTATGTACATTTAAAAATATTGACATTATCTAGTTTTTCAGTGGTCGAAGTGGGATACTCAAAGTGGTGGGATGGTAAAAAAAAAAAAATAAAAAAAAAAGTATTATTTTAGTTATTTTTTAAAAAAAATAACTAAACAAAATTTACCAAACTTTGGAAGTAAACTAACGAGAATATTTATATTCAAAATTAAATCAACTAAAAATTGAATCAAAAACTGTGCAAATTGTTACCAAAAAAATGCATAGACTACTATGTAGTAACGAAAATTTCATTAATAGAAAAAAATTATACGTTACTATTTGAAATTGGTCTTATTTAAAATTACATATATGTATTTAATTTTTTGTTAAAAAAATTTTTAAAATTCATTAGAAAATTTTCTTAAATTTTAAAAAACATGTTCCGGAACGCATTTTTCTCTCCTATTAAGTAGTGGGATGGATTTCCAATTATTTAAAAGTACTGGGATGTTATCCCACTCAATCCCGCCTCACTTCGAGCACTGTTTAATTGAAAAATCTGACTTATGCACATATCGTGAAACTAAACTAAATATCATGAAACTAAAGTAATGGAAGTAAAATATAAAAAAACTTTAAGTACAATCCGACAACATACAACAAGTATAAAAGAAGTGTTTAAAGATTTATTAATAGTGACTAAAAGTACGGTTAGCACATTTAAAATCAGAAACAAATTTCTTAATTTAAATTTGGAGTTAAAATAAGTGTTTATATTTACTGGTTCAATTACATTGTATTGAATATATAAGTAACTTGTACATAGTTATACTTCTATTCAATTAAACATAAAATTTTCAATTTTCTTCATTTGGATGTTGTCGTTAAAAAAAATGGGAAAATTGTAAGCGTCATAAATTTATTAGAAATAAACAAAAATTATCGATTTTTTTTATTTTTACTTACCGGTTGGTTTTTATAAAAAATATAATATCCAATTATCCCAAAATTTTCTTTAAAAATAATATTCGATAATATATTTTAATAAAATTTAAAAAGCCTATTTTGATGCTTTTAAAAAATAGTTTTGATGTAAGCTCTGGTGTATAATAAAAAAATATCCAGACATCATCATATTTAAATATACTGTGAGTCTCAAAAAAAACCGCTCACTAAAAATTATTTTGTTTAACATTTATTTACACTCATTTTAATTATTCAACTTACAAACTAATTCACAAATATTAAAGTCCATTCAATTACAAACAAAATTCCAAAAATAAGTTTCAAAAAAATAACAAAAACATAACAAAAAATAAAGAAATTCAAAAATCCACATATTTTTACGCGTCAAAAAAAAACGCTCATTAACAAAAAATATTAAAATTTTTTAAAAAATAATCAAATTAATACTTGATTTGTAGCCCTTTTGATTTACATACAGCACCCAATCTCCTTGGCATGGATTCTACAAGTTTTTTTGTAAACTGGGAAGGTATTTTTGCCCATTCTTCTAAAATTGCTTTTTTTAGGTCTTCCTTGTTACTAATATGTCTTGTTCTTATACGTTTGTCCAGGTAGTCCCATAAATGTTCGATTGGGTTAAGGTCTGGCGACTGGGGGGAGTGGTCTAATTGTTTTGGGGTTCTATATAGCAACCACTCCTTCACAACAAGAGCAGTGTGCTTAGGGTCGTTATCTTGTTGGAAGATCCAATTATTGCATAAACCTAATTTTTCTATACTTGGTGCAATATTATCTTACAAAATCTTCAAATAACCCATTTTATCCATAGTGCTTTCTATAAACACCAAATTACCAACCCCAGCTGCAGCCATACAGTCCCAGACCATAACTGAACCCCCACCATGCTGTATTGTCTTAATAACGTTTTTGTCTTCAAACTCTTTATTAATTTCTCTCCATATTTTAACTGGTTTTTTGGCTCCAAATATCTCAAACTTGCTTTCGTCAGTAAATAATACATTTTTCCAAAAAAGAAAATCCTTTTGTTTATATTTTTTTGCGTAGCTAAGTCTCTTTTTCTTATTTTTTTTCGAGATACTGGGTTTTGTTCGTGGTGCTCTTCCAAATAGTCCGTTGTCATGTAGTACTCTACGTACCGTACTTGCGCTCACGGGTTTACCTGTCTTAATTCCAATATTTTGGGCAACCGTCACGGCACTTGTATGTGGATTTTTTTTAACATTTTTAACAATTTCTCGAATTTGAATTGGGTTTAAACTCTTCGGCCTACCTGAGCGTCTGAGATCGTTAACTTTATTTGTATTCTTATACTTATCAATTATAGTTTTTACGGTTGAATAAGCTCTGCCCACAAGTTTACCTATTTCGCGGTGTGATTTACCTGCTTTATTGAGATTAATAATAATTTCTCTCGTTTCTATAGTGGTTTGTTTCACCATATTTAAATTACTTTTTAAAATCTTCTAAAGAATGATTTATTTCATTAAAAAAACGAAAAAATAGTCCGAACTATTCAGAAAAAAGGACGATATGCCTTTAATTAAACCTGCAAAAATCATTAAACAATTTTTTTTGGGGGATTCCCGAAGTTTTTTCAGAAAACTAGATGAATATGCCTTGTATGTACTAAAGCTGAGCGGTTTGTTTTGATGCGTAAAAAAGTCAACAATTTTCAATTTATTTATTTTTTGTTTTGTTTTTGTTACTCTTATGAAAATTTTTTTAATTAATTTTGTTGGTAATTGAATGTACTTTATTATTTATAAATTAGTTTGTGACTTGGACAATTAAAACAAAATATATTAAACACTACATAAAATAATTTTTAGTGAGCGGTTTCTTTTGACACTCACAGTATGCACATACGATTCATATACGACAGTATAGTCGTTAAACACTCTTCAAATTGCAAACCAATGGTTAAAATATATTACATGCACATAATAAAATTGATAAAACGTAAGGTGGCTGACTAAATGGCTGTGAATACACTAGTCAAGTTATTGATTTCATATGTGTACATATGTAGCCGATATTATGATTATTGTTCGAGCACTATGTTTTTAATCAATATTTTTTACTACTTCTGTTGAAATTGAATAAATAACCAATTTCATTCTGTACACTTAAATCCTTTTCTCACACATTTAATACGTGCATACATATGTACATATGTATTGTATATAATTCTTATACTTATATATATTATATACATATATGTATTTAAAAGCAAAATCTTATTTAAAAAACTAATATTCATTTAAATATCGCACTTCCATATACATATATCACTTCTATCAATAATATAAATTTATAATTTGATAAAACTAAAATATTATTGCAATGTGAAATCTTACATTTTTTGGAAAAGTTGATTCACTACCCACTCGTTGTTTTTGTTTTTTTTTTATCTTTTTTATTTAAATGCAATGCAAAACATATATATGAAATTTAAAAGGAAAGAAAAGGATAAAAGTAGTTGTTTTTCTTATTCTTGTATTCAGCCCATTGGCTCTTCTAATAAAATCCAAAGGCCATCTTCAAGTAGTAGAGAAAAGAATTTATGTAGTTTATTCGAAATTTTACTTTAATTTTATTGAAAAAATTGAATTAATTTTTTCTAAGTATCAATGAAATGATAAACAAATTGTTTTCGAAATTTTAATTCAAATAAACATTTATCAGTTTTCTGATTATATTTAAAATGAATTCTATCGTGAAATTTAACCGCACCAAATACTTGAAAGAACAAACTAATAAAGGAATACAATACAACGCAAATGCAAGTCAAAATGTTGAAACGAGTAATTTATTTTGCGGAATATGTAGTTGACATTAAATTGTCAAAATTTTTAGATCTTGTCAATGCCAAAAACTTACATATTGTGAATTGTGCCATTTAACATACATATGTTTTTGTTTTGACACATTTTAGTTTTAACAATTTGTACAAATAATTATTTTTCTTGGAAGTACTACTTGTTTTGGATTAACGATTCCTTTAACGCAAAATTAATGAATTGATTAAAATCAAATTGGTTGAATGACAATTTTTGGGAAGTCACCGGCATCTCTCGAAATATACACTTATTTTTATATATATTTTTCACATATACAAGAGTATGAACTAAAAACATCGTGTTATATTTAATTTTGCTCCCAATTCGTAGCGGTCTTGTTAAGGTTATCATTCAGCCAATCAAGTTATCAAAAATTATCATTCAGCCAATTTGATTTTAATATACTTATTAATAATTTTGTGAAAAGTGACCCTCAACCCAAAAAATTGTGAAATAATGGAGTCACTATGCATTTGAGAGCCTAGTAAGCTTTTTCTGAATAATACAGTTCCATTTACATTCCATTTTTATTTTATACGTATCACTTGACAGTTTTTGACAATTAAAAAAAAAAACAAATTGAAGAAATTATATTGGATAAATTTTTATTTTAATTTAAATTTTGAGGTGATCTTTAAATTAAAAAATTTTATATATAGATAATTTGCATGTAAGTAAAAAAAACTTTAATTTAATTTAAATATGCAAATTAACGTCTTAAATTAAGAGGGCAACTTTAAATTATTCTGCCCACTCCTCAAGTGCTTGTTTTATATAGTTTTTTTTTTTCATGCGTTCTAGAAAAGTTGGATTTTTTTTAAAAGCCACGTTAAAATACGCAGGAGCTTCTGAAATAGATTTTAGAAATATCCAATTAATTTTGATTTTTTATTCGATATTGGAAGAAAAATTTTAAGTTTCATAGGTTCGATATACAAGTTAGTATGTTCATTAATTAATAGCTCATTAATAATATTTTATCTTTAAAAAATCAATTAACTACAGCATGAAAGAAATTTGTAACAATTTCTTTTTATAGTAGCACCTATAATGACTGATAAGACTAATCGTGGAGTCAGCCGGGTCTTGTCCAAATTAGAGGCATCTATTGCTGCTGGCAATTATTATGAAGCACATCAGATGTATAGGACTTTATATTTCAGATATAATGCACAAAAAAAATATGACGAATGCTTAGATTTGCTTTACAGAGGATCACTCACTTTAGTAAATAAAGAGGTATTTAAATTAACATCATAATAAAGTGATTTCCAATACATATACTTATTTACTCTTACAATTTAATTCCGTTGGCTATAGCAATATTCTAGTGGAGCAGACTTGGCTTTATTAGTTATTGAAACTCTTGAAAAGAAAGGGACTGAAATTGGTGAGGACATCGATTTATGGATACAAAGGCTAGGTGTGCTTATAAGAAAAATAACTCCTACTACAGTTGAACGGGAAGCTATAATTGTAAGTCTTTAAATATAAATCTTTTGGAGATTTTAAGTTATCTGCTTTATTTTCTATTTCTGAAGAATCGTGCTGTACGCTGGAGTGGTGAAGTTTCAAAAAACAATTTAGGGAATCCGCAAATGCATAAGGTAATTGCTCAAATAATGTGGGCTGAAAATAATATGGAACAAGCAAGACATCACTATTTATTATCACGTGATGGTTTAAGTTGTGGGCAAATGTTAGTTAAATTAAGTCAAAGCAAAGGATATGAAAGCGAGATCGATTTATTTATAGCACAAGTTGTATTGCAACAATTATGTTTAAAAGAAACTGATACAGCATTACAAACTTTTGAGACATACACAAAGTATCATCCAAAAATTGCGTCTAGTGAACCGCCATTCATATTGCCATTACTAAATTTTATATTTTTCCTATTGAAAACTATTGAAGCTGGCGGTCGTTTAATCGCTTTCAAGTCATTATGTGATTTATATAAACCATCAATTGAACGTGATCCATCATATGAAAAGTATTTACAAAAAATTGGGGTAATATTCTTCGGTGTTCCATCAACTCAACCAACTGGCGGCTTAATGGGAGGTATGTTTGGTGATTTGTTTAGACTGTTTCGCGGACTTGAAGATGAGGACGATAATGATGATGACGATGAAAGGAACTCCACCAATACCAGTCGAGGCATCAATAGAAATAACGCAAATAACACCAGTCCGGTCGAGCTAGATTAGCAATATTGATAAGTTTCTTATAAATACACACAATATATTAAAATTTAACTAAAAGTAATATCAGTAGAATGTAATTTATGATACAGCAATCGATTGAGTGTTAATATTATATTATTTTGCTTTTTTAAAAAAAATAAACGATGAAACTAATAACATGAAAACAAATTTATTTGAAATTTGTAAAAGTTCTTGTTTCATGAACTGTTTAAAATTTGTTAAAAACTATACTTTCATTTCCCGGATCTAGAATCAATGTTTGCTTAATTGATCAGGCAAGATGCTGTGCCGATTGTTTTTTATTTCAATTGACAAAATATTAGAAAATATTTTATAACAAATTTCCTTTCATATTTAATTTATTAAGATTTTTTTTTTTTGTCATACAAATATAATAAATTTTGATACTAAAATGTAATTGTATTGTAAACGTGATTATAAATAATTTTATGAAAAAACTTTTTAACATACTATCACAAAAAAAGTGTAAATGTATTTAGCGAATCGCTTGAGACATATGTAGTGGTGTTACCATCAATTCTAACTCAGCGTCTTTCAGATTTGCTCCTCTTAAATTAGCTTCTTGCAAATCACTTCCAGACAAATTGCACCTCTCTAAATCGGCTCCTGCTAAAACAGCTGCTCTAAGAACACTAAAAGATATCAATTTTAAAAATTTTTTCGTTGCGAATTGGTTTTAGTAGTGAAGTCACCAATTCTTCATATTAGCATCCTTTAGATTTGCGACTCTTAAGTTAACTCCAGCCATATTGGAACCCTCTAAACATGCTCCTTTCAAGTTAACACCTTCCAAATTTGTTCTGAATCCTGTAGGGTCCTCAAAATTGCAACCTTGAAGATTAGCACCTTCCATATTAGCACAAAGTCCTCTGACAGAAACTAACTGAGCACATTCCATATTAGCTAAAAAAAAATAATTGTAATAGTAATCTAGGTACTTATCTTCATTTCAATTACCATAGGAAAGATCAGTTCTTTCTAAACAACAATGAGTCAAATTTGCATGTGATAAATTGCATTTAGCAAGACACGCATACTGAAAGATTATAAAATTATTTGAAAAATGAAAATATTGCTTTGTTTTCATTAACAAGTATGTACTTTAAAATTAATATTTCTAAAATCCAACTTTCTTAAATCAGCGCCAGCAAGATTAATACCTTGAAATCGTAGTTCTGATATATATGATGTTTGGATTAATGCTCGAATAACTTCACGCCTTGTCAATGGAATATTGTCAGAAGAAATATTATTTGCGGCCAATTGAGCTTCTAATTGAGGAATCAGCGATTCTATTCCAAAAAATTTTGCTTCTTCAAGTATGCCTTCGGTATTCAAATGAGAATCATAAATTAGTTGTCCATGACGTAAATAATTTATTATAGGTTCAAAATAGTGAGGACTCCTATCAATCAAGTAAGCACCTTCTTCATCCAGATCACTTGGATTCATACCTCCTTGTGAAAACATTCTTGATAACATACTATTTGGCTCTAAAAGCAAAATAACAAATTTAAAAATTATAACACTAGTTTAGTTTGTGGTATACCTTTATTTATCAATGTAGATAAAGTAGTAACATAAAGTTTTCCCCCTACATTAAGTTTTATCCATTTTGATGGAAATTTGCTTTTTTTTAAGTTTTCTGACATTTTTTTAATTTTTGCGGCACATCATTTTTTAAAGAATTAAAGTCTTTTAATTTTTTTCTTTACTGTTGACCTACTTTAAAATTAACAGGTAGTGTGTTTGTGTTGAGAATACAATTCTTTTTAGCTATTGTTGATTCTGAAACAAAATTTTTGTGATTTTAGAACTGAAGAGTTGAAATAACAAAAAACAATAATCATCAAAAAAATTGATTTGACAGATTGAGTACAATTTTCAGAAGGAAATTTGGCTGTTCTCAAAATCTCATGTCGGATGCAACGAAAGCGAGTATAAATGCCTTTTCGCCTCAATCAACGTAGCAAATTAAATTATTGTGAAATGTTGTCGAAATTTGAAATAAAAGTACTTCATATATACTCCTATTGAAAATTGAAAGACGAGGTTTGTCTGGGATAAAACTTGGAAAAACTTTAAAAAGAGAAACAATGAGTAAATTTCTCCTAAAAAGAAAAAAAGTTCTCATTTAAAAAAAAAATTAACCAGACGAAAAACTGGAAAAAATTTTGAAAACTTGATAAATATGCGATAAACCTCAAATATCCAAATATTTATCAAATATACACAAATATTTTTTGGTTGCCAAAAAACCGAAATTTTTGATTTTGGATTATAAAAGTGAGAAACTTAAGAAAAAACCATTTGTGAACCCATTTTGGTTATTTTACTTTATATTTAATTGAAAAGTTTTGAACAAAAAGTTATTGTTGATGAAAATTTTTTCAAAAATAAAACCTTCAGACTTAACCAAGAAAAACATGTTTCGACAGTTGTAAGATTTTAAAAGTTTTTAAAACACAAATTTTTACTTTACAAAACTTGAAAAAACTTTAAATATTGAGGAAATGAGAATGTCATAATTTTCTCTCATTTTTGTTCAAAAAGTATTATCCCAGACGCTTTTCATGCAAAAACTTTATAAAGTTTTTAAAAGTTTTTAAAAATTTTGTCATACTAGTAACTAGACAGACCTATTATTTAATTTTTTTTACACCTTGTATTCATTCACATACATGCTTTGACGTTGTCAAAAAAAAAATCAATTATTCTTCAATCAAGTTATTTTAAAACTAGCCCCGCGGCCTCCTTTTTTCTTAACAAATAAGTTATCTTGCATCAACCGACGCGTTGTACCTATTACTCTTCGATTATATTTGTATTAGATTGCATAGACATTGTAAAGACAAGTTTGTTAGTGGAATTTTCGGCTTCATATAACTCATCAATATATGATTGTTCAAAATTTGAGATATTCTATTAACAGGGGTTCACGTTCAACTTATAACTTAATTGTAAACATTAATTACGTTTCTTTACAAAATCTGCTTATCTTAGAGAATTGGAGTGAAGTTTTTGTGTGGTGGCCCTTCTTTGGCATTTGATATTTTTCTTAATAAACTACAGCTAGATGTTTCGTCACCCTCTCATTCTTTAAGGCCCTTATTATGATTGGCGAAACGAATGAAATTTTTGGCGAATATGAATTTTTGGTATTATGATAAGCGAATTTACCTAAATTTTAGGAAAATGAATTGTCAAATCTGTCGAATGAAAATTCTGTCTGAAAAGTTTGGCCAATGAAACAAAAAATCAAATAAATACATAAGTGTTTTTTTTATTGGATATTATAGCATTTATAGTGATATAATGGAAAAATCTGAACTGTCTGTAAAGCAAGCTCATAAAATTCTACAAATTATTGTAAAAAATATTGATTGTTTAGTATTATTTTAAACGTGAAAAAAATGAACCGAAAAGCAATTCACGCATTTAAATATATGAATAGATAACAACCCCATAATTACCAAATGACGGAAACATTCAATTGCTTTTACTAATGTCTTTATATCTAACACGTCCCAATACTCAATTTTTTTTACGAAATATTACGAATTTTTTGGCTTCGTTCCTGTTTTTTTCTTTAAATGCTACTGATCGTGTCATATTTCTTATTATTTTTTTCTTTTTTTTACGTAAAAAAGAGTTTAATATTTTAAAAAATCTCAAGATATTATACACATTTTTTAAAAAGCTTCCCATTTAAATTCTATTGCACGAAAAGGAAAGAAAGGTAGGTGGAAAGAAAAAATGAAAAAAAATTTTAAATTCATATTTCAGTATGGTTTCAAATGTTAATGAGGAAGGATGTATGATTTTTCATGCATATTTTGTATTTCCCAATAAGGTAAGTTGAGTAGTGTCGGCTAACAAAAAAGTTAATAAAAGTAATATAGGTTGACACATTTCAACAATTTGAATTATCTCATTTCGGTTATTTATACGTTACTTATAAAATTGTTTCAAATAATTTCAGTTAGTTTTTAAGTTATTAAAAATAAATATGTATGTACCTACTTCCAATAAATTTTTTTTTAAATAATTATTTTAAAACTATTTAAAACATGTTATATTGAGTGCTTCAAAAATTTTGCTGTTCTCTTTTTTCATATTTTATTAGCAGGTAAACAAGAGCAATCTATTTATAAAATGTCCCTGCATGTGAAAGAATATTACATAAAGAACAAAAATTTTAAAATACCTGTTATTTTACAGTCGGAATTTTTGAGTCATTTGGTAAAATACCATTTATTTCAAAAATAAAAAAATATTCAAATCCGGTCATAAAAATATATGATTGTTTTTTCCAAACATTTTAAATATTTTTTTTCTTAGGAAATTGATATAAATGATAGTAAGTTTTTAATATTTTTTCAAATAAAAATAGAGGTAAAATTTTGAAGTTTATATAAAATTTGTATTTAACAAATAATATTTGATTGTATTTTAGATATTATTTTCTAATTCCCTCTTCAAATTTTTTCTTTACTACGTATTTATATCAATATTTAAGAATTATCTTTCATTAATTATATTTTCAACTTGACACCAAAGTTGCTTCCCATATCTTGAGTTAACTTACCCTATGAGAAAAAAAGCTGATCACTTAAAAATAATGAAATGCTTTCAGTAACATATAAAACGTTGAAGCCGAAGGATGTGCTTGTTATTTTTCCGCTTTTTTTATAATTTTAAAATAATTGTCAATGAAAATATTAATATATTTTTCTGATTTTTCAAATATATTTTCTAAATTTTACTTGCTTTATAATAAGTGTGAATTTATTTTAATATTTCTTCTCAAAAAATAGCCACTTCGATTTAAAAAAACCCATATAAAATAAGGTCGTGCTTTCAAGTTTCTCTCTGAGCATTGGGACTTGTTAGATATAAAGACATTAGCTTTTACAAAAAAAGCAAAAATAATGTACATATGTGTGATGTTATTCTTATTACTTTCGATAGGTTTTCTGATGTCTTGCGGTAGCAACAATTTGGTTCTGGCAAATGATGAATGCGGTAGCAACAATTTGGATCAGGCGAATCATTCGATTCACCTTGTCCATTCGAGTCGCTTAGCCATCCGCTCCGCCGATCATAATAAAAGTATACAAATGTGCATAGGGGTGGAACTAAATTTTTGAAATCGTGGATGAGACCGTAATTACTTTCTAAAATTAAGAGCAGAAATATGTTAAGAATTAAAGTAAAAAAGCACCCCTATGTTGCCAGACTTCACAGAGTCTATAAAAATATATAGTATGAGATTAGGTTGGACATTGACAGATGTAAGAATGGATAATATTATAGTACCAATTTATTAAAAAAATTTGGGTAACACAAATACTATTGGGTAGTGTTAGGTCGTAAAGAAAAAAATGAAAAAATTTGGGTAGTGATAGGTCGTAGATGAAATATTAAAAAAGACTGGTCGTAATGCGATTTTCGATATCGGAGAAGATTTTTATAATTTAGCTAGGAGATTTAATGTTCACTTTTTTCGGTTGGTTTTAGTAGTAGTTCGAGTGTAGTTAATTTTACTACAATTGTAGTATTTTACTACATTTTGGTATTCTATACTACTATATTACTGCAAAGCAATTTTTACTACTTTTTTACCTTTATACTAGAAAATGTCATTATTTACATTTGTTTATGAAAATTCCATTCGTATTGTTACAAAAACCACTTGTAAAATGTAATTTTTTTTTTTACTAGGAGAAAAAATCTCAAAAGACGAAGAAAGTCTGCCTTTTTCCTCCGACAGTAGGGGAGCGTGACTCCTACCCAACAAAATCACCTGAACTCTGAACAGATAAAGGTGGTCCTACAGACCAACTGGTCCTACCTCTGCGCTATCTTGGTTTTTCCGTACAAGAGTTAAATAAATTCCATAAGGAAATTGGTATTTCGTGTTAAATCGAATGGTCTTGTTCGTTTAAGTCTTTATGTCTAGGCTATTGTCTAGCAGCCGAGCTGCTTCCATATTTACATGCTGTGCTAGACGAGTCCTATGCTTTGTAGCACAACTCCTAATTTCATCCACAACTAAAGGAATTCTTAAGTCCCTAAATAAATTCTTAAGTCCCTTTGGATATCACCGTTACGTATATACCATGGCCCATTTACCATTCCCTGTAGAACTTTATTTTGGAAGGTTCGAATTTTGTTAATGTGAGTCTTCTTGGCACAACCCCACAGTTAAAAGCCATATACATTGGTTTAATGATTTGGCCATAAATCAATATCTTATTATCAATTGCCAAACTGGAGTTACAACCTAGGAGTCAATAATTTTCTCTTTATTTATTTTCTAATTCTATGTGTTTCTTCTTTATATGCTCTTTCCACCTTAGCTTGACATTTAAAGTCATTCCTAGGTATTTTGCTGAGTTATAAATCGTTACGTTCGTTCCATTTAAGTTAATTTGTGGTGAATTCACTATTTTCTGATTGGTGAAGTTTATGTTAAGCGATTTTGCTTCATTCAACTTCACTTTCCAATCCCTAGTCTGCTGGCTTATTTTGTTACTTGCCGCCTGTAATTTTTTTGTCCAATCGTCAATGTTCGCTCCTACTGTCAATATTGCAGTATCGTCAGCAAAAGTGGCTGCCGTAGCATTTTCTATTTGTGGCAAATCACTCGTGTAAAGCAGTTACAACGTTGTGCCCAATATACTGCCTTGAGGCACACCTGCTCTTATTTCTCTTAGCGTGAAGTATTCAGCGTCTTGTTTTTTTTTTTTATCAGCTAAGTAAGATTCCAAAATTACTACAAATGGCGATGATAACATTTGTCCTAATTTAAATATAAGGCCTTTGTCGAATCCTTACTTGTCGAATGCCTGTGCTACGTCTAGAAATGTAGAAGAGCAGATTTCTCTATTTCCCAAGCTTTTTTCTATAAAATTCGTTATTCTA